TTTCCAGATTTATAGAAATTGTACCACTGGACATTAAGTGAATGAATAAACGAGGCTGAAGAAGCTATGATCATCACTGAGAAATATGAAGTTTCCAGATTTATAGAAATTGTACCACAGGACATTAAATGAATGAATAACTGAGGCTGAAGAAGCTATGATCTTCACTGAGAAATAAAAAATGAGCCTTAGGACTGGAATATATGTTTCTGACTTCAAAAAAAAAAACCATATACTTCATATGAATATATGTTTCTGACTTCAAAAAAAAAAACATAAAATTCAGAATTTATGAGCTAGCCATTATTAAAGTATAGTTCTTCAGCCAACAACACCCACACTTGTAGTGTAATTTTTAGAGAAGAAAAACTGGGCCCCACCATATTTACTGAGAAACTCTGTACTGAGCTCCAGTAAGCTGTATTTTGATGAGAGTCTTCCCAGGTGATTCTGATGATAAATTTTAACCACCACTGCCACTACTTAGATTGGTGAAATTAGATGACTCACCCCACAAATCTATTTCAATTTTAAGATACAGTACTATATCAGTGCTTCTGAACTCAATATTTAATATTTGTTTTCATTATAAAATTAAATAAAATCCTTAAAATTATTTATGCATAAAAACTGAAGAATTACTTTTTTAAATCACACACTTAAAGAAATATGATTTTTATTTTATTTATAATGGCCCACATCTTGAATAGAGTGATGCAATAAAGTGGCACATTATTATTGTTTTTAATCCTTGTACAAGAAGTTTAACACAAGGAAAATGAAGAAAATCTGTATGATATACCTGCTAAAGAATGAATTAATGATGTTACTCTTATTTTTTTTAAATAACTACCAGAAGCTAGGTGTGCTTATTAGAGAAAGAGAGGGAACAGAAGAAAGCACCCCCCAATGGGATATGGCCATGCCCAGTTGCTTCTCTTCCATTTCTTTTCTGTAAGAACTTTGGGCAAGCACACATATGCACTCAGCTTGTTTCTCAAGCCGCCAGAGCAGGATTCCAATTAGTAGGCCATGTAGGATCTGATTTCTCTTAACTACTATACTACGGTCAAGCCCAGTTGAATTAGTCTCTTGGAAATGTACGTTTAGCTCCAAACTTCCTTGGATCAGCATTTTTTGAGTAAATACAGAAATGAATTTTATACAACACAAAAAGAAATCTCAGATTTTAAGTTAGTGTGGACCACCATGAATGAAGGTAGTCAAATTTGGTACAAGAGTCTGAAGCACCCTGAGAAGAGGTGTGTTCTGATTGCAAGACAACATTCCAGTAATTTATTTCATGATATTTTTATGGGTTAGCCATTTAAAATTGGCTTGATAAGAAATAAAGACCTCAAGTCTCAAAAAAATACTATCCTGTTACACAGTTGGATAGCCAACCATGGTTTCCTTGCAGAGAGAGGGCATCCCCTCTTCCTAGGAAACACTTTGAGTGACTTGCTGGCAACACCTGTGAACTCCTTAGTGAGCAGCTTTACATCTGCTTAGTCTTTGCACAAGGAGCTGAGTAGCCATTTTACAGCCTAATGCATGACAGAAATAGTTTTGGATCTGGAAGATTTAGCAGTGGGTAAATCATGTGAGCATAAAGGTAAGATGGATCAAAAGAGAAAAAAAAAAGCTTACATAATTAAAGGAAAAAGAAAAAATCCAAAAAGATGCTAAAAAGAATTGTAGAAAAACATATATTAAAATACTGGGGACTGACTAGAAGATCTTAAAGGATAAATAAACTGTCAGAAGGAAAATAACACAAACAGGAATATGAGAGGAAACTTCAAAGAGTTCATGGAAAGTGTGAATTTATTTTGTTGCAAAATATTTTGAAGTTTATTATGCATAGTTTTTTTCATGTGCATTTTTGAAGACCCCCTTATATAAACAATTAAATTTTCCTCTAGAAAATTCAACTTTTGGTTATTATTACCAACATTAGTAGTGAAAATAGAAATGGGTCAAGAAAAAGAAAACGTAATTCAAAATGTGTCATCTGGTGACACCTACTCTTTTCAGATTACAACTTCCATCGTGGTCTTTAAGCTACTGCTTCCTCAGCTGTGGACTGAAGAATTTCTCCTAAATTTCTAAAGTGCTCAAATTCAGTTAAGATAATTTTAAAGGTACGCTAATCATAATGGCTGAGGTTGAGGAAGAATTTCAGGTCCAGTATATATATTCAATCATCTGAAAACCAAGTTTCTGAACCATCTAATCTCATCAGCTTATAAATAGAATTCACTGAGTAAAACCAGTTTTAGCCATCAGAAGACTGACTTGATTACACTTTGTATGGTTCTTTGTAAAATGAAATTTAAGGTTATCTTTTGAGCATGTGACCTAGTGTCCCTTATGATATATCCCATTCAAGGTTAGATTTACTTCTTAGAGAAAGTTTGTCTTTTATACACATTTAGAAATGATTTATTCTTAAAAAGAATAAAATTCATGTGATCCAGTCCTCTTCCATTCTTCTTAGCTACTGGGGGCTTTAAAGTTAAATTCCAGTCTTCACTGAATAAAGCATTTATTTTATAGTCCTAATAATTACTGGTTTCCTCCATCTTTTTTCAAATTGTAGTCTAGGTATCACTTGTACTAAATTCACTTGGGCAGCTTGTTATAAATGCAGATCCCTAGACCTTTTTCAGAATCTCTAGAGATTAAATCCAAAAATCTGCATCTTATCAAGTAGCTCAAGTGACTCTTATCCTCATTAAAGTTCAGAAGTGCTTTACAGAGTCCAATTTTATATAATGGCTAATCTGCAAGCCATGGCCTATTTTAAAAGATGAATGAGATAGAAATCTTATTAAGATTTAATACAGCTTGGAGTTTGAGGCTCCCGTGGGTACTTGGCATTGAAAAAATTCTCTCCCATTTGAAGCCTAGGCCTTAAGGTATATTTTACCCAATCCATAAGTCGGTAATTTTCACAAGAATAGGGAGAAGAGAATTCTAGCAATTCAGAAACTTCTAGGATGCTTCCTCAAACTCGTTCTCTTGCCCTCAATTTCTTATTCCCTATGCAATCGTCAGCCTTCTATTCCTCATCCCTCTCCACTTCCCTAGAAAAAAGACTTAAAGTGCTTTAGAAATATCTTTTTTTTTTTTTTTGAGAGGTTTTTTGCTATAGGGCGCATGCGCTTGCCAGAAAGACAGAGAGAGTCTGAGAGACAGAAAGTGAGAAATGACCACACAGGGAGAATGGCCACAACACAATCCCTTCTCCATTCTCCTCTCAAGATCTTAGGCATGCATGCACATGCGCGTAGTGTGAGTTGGAGCCACCGGGTCCAGGACTCGAACCGCAGCCGACCACATGAGAGTCCAGCGACATAGCCATTACGTTAACTGCTGGTCCCTAGAAATATCTTAAATTGGTTATTTAATATCATGTTTATTATATATCAGGCTGAAGGCCAAAGTATTTAAGAACTAGTTACTTTTGTGCTGTGAAGACAAGGGAAATAATATGCATTATATTTGTGGCTGTGAGGTAGAGAAGACTAACATTTATTGAAGAACTACTAATTTATTTAATAATCTAATGCTCAATCTCTGATGTATGGGTCTATCTGATAGATATTATTATTAGCATTATTGTCATTTTACAGACTAATGATAACTACAATACTATTAGTAATACTATTAAAACTATTATAACTTCCAGCTTTTATGTAAACTTATTTTTATACCAGCTATTATGTGAGTAACTTTACATATGTATCTATATATAATATGTATATACATACATGTAGTAATTTTACATGAATGTGCTTTTGAATACACATTTATGTATACATACATGCATATAAAATCTCATTTAATTCTAGCAACTTTACTTCATTAAGTACAATGCCTATTAACAGGAAGGTAAAAATCTGATTGGTTAAGTAATGTGTTCAATGTCACACAGCAAATGAATGAAATAGTCCATGTGTATTGACACATATGAGAGGTGAGAGAGGAGAGGCAGAAGCCTTATCAGGAAGACATTTACACATTTTGCCTAAGTGTCTCAAAGTCACTGAGAGTCAATGACAGATGGCAATAAGGGTAGCATATGCACGTGGGAAAGACTACTCTGGTGACAGAATAGAGAAAATATTGGTGACTGAGGACAGAGTTCATATGAAGGCAAAGATTTTAATAGACTGCATAAAATTTAAGAATTGAGACTTAATGGTTTTTGTCATAGTGAATGGTAATGGGAGACTTATTGGTAAGAATCCATGATCACTTTGACTTACAGGTATTGTGTAAATGAATCAAAGTAAATATTGTTTAAAATATAAATTGCCAATTTTAGAATTCCATGTATTGTTCTTTGAAATAGTCACTATTAGTATGACTGTACTGAGTCATTAGTAATAATAGCTGATTATGAAGCCAGATTACAATACTTAGGTTAGTACTATGCCTTGGTTTGGTATGCTGGCTTCTCACCTTGGCTTGTCTAAAATTGACTCTTAGAACCCATTGTCAGGTTTATTTGACTCATCTTAGTGAGACAATGAACTGGACTTTAGGTAGAAAGGAAAAGAAGCTAGAACCATCACAACCCCCACCACAATCATGTAGAATACATGCTCCATCAGTCTACTTTTTTGGTCTTTGAAGAATCTGAAGAAGCAAAGCAATAGGGAAGAAGAAAAGAGGGGAGAAAAGGCAAGGAAGTAGAAAATGAAGAAAAGAAAGATGCCAAAGAGTGCCAGCATGCTTTCAGAAAGTATAAATGAACCAAAGCTGTCAAAGAAGGAAGCTCTCTTATCTCCACTCCAGGGTCTTGCTCCTTCTACAGAATGCCAGGGCACTCCTCTCACAAAGGTCCAATAGCCTGCTTTGCCCCACCCTCCATTCTCAATATGGGGCTATAAGTAAACAAAGTACCAATTCTGGATCCAGAGCTAAAGAACCCACTGCATTCAAAATGCCAAGGGCGTTGAGCTAACTTATCTGTGCTTTTTTCTGTATAGATCATGGAGCAAGAAAGTTGAAGCCACACCACATCAGAGTTCATCAGGGATGAGATGCCTGTCAAGGACTGCAGCAGAGTAGATTTCTGGGGAAAAAACACAGAATCTCTTCTAGGGATATTTTATGAACAAATGAGATAATTCCCAGAAGGAGCCTGGAACTTTTCTGGAAAAAGGCGCTGTGACTATCTAAGGTATCTAAACCACTATAGGGTATAAATTTATATGTGTGTGAAAAGTAAACTACAATCTTTAGTTGCTAATAAAGATAGCTGTATTAGGACATAAAGAAGGCAGAGAGTGATTTCTTCTCTCCTCACCAGTTTGTTCCTCTAAAGAGGCAAATATATAAATGAAGACATTGCAGCTATGATCTCAGGGAATGGAATGATGCCAAAGGCTACTGATGTAAGAAGAAAGGATTAACCCAGTTTTTTATTTCTTTTTCTTTTAAGAGAGATATTCATCCTGTGTATTAGTAAGTGTCCACTATTGTATTTACTTTGCATTTTATTGCATTTATTTGGTAATTAGATCCATAGCTCACCTGTTTGTATAGGGTAAAGGACATCCAAATATATGGTTAGTATTTGGTTGTGAGCTGGCTTCTGAATTGGCCAATTTTGAACCACCCAAAAAGTACTTATTTGTTTAAGTGTATTAGCTATAACTAACTACAATAACTGTCTAAAGTCGTCTTCCTGAAGAAGGAAGTTGATTGAGCATAACAAGCAGTGGAGAGGTTGTTTGTGTCCAAGAACTGAGCAGTCCATCAAGGGCCCAAGGGTAGATTTGTCTCTGTGATCTACTACCTTCAGTGTGTCACTTAGGTCTCAGAATGGCATCCCTTCTGTTCGTAAGTTGGCTAAGTAGTGCCATATATCAGATCTCAATGCAAAAATTCCTAAGACAGAGAATACTGTGTTTCCTCGTTTACCTCTTTATAGTAGTGCATAAACCATAATAGATACCGAAGAGATATACTTCAGCCCTTACCCTTCATTGGCCAGAATCATTCACATGTCTATTCCTTAAGCAATGATTTGAAAGGGGCTTGGAGAAGGTGTCTGGAGCAGAATGGATGGTGAGGGGTCAAACACAGAATTCTCTTCAATTTGCAAACATAGTAGAAAATTTCAAGAGTTAGTGAAACCTAGGATGCTATTTTATTTTCTATTACAATGCTGGCTTAATTCTTACTAATTAGTAGTTATATTTTCAAGCTTATAGCTACCTGATGAGGTAAAAGTCACAGAAAACCTCAACTCCATAAAGCTAATTTTTATTTCCAAGTTAATTGTTCTTAAGACAGAGATAAGCTCCTGCTTCCTTAACTCAGTTATTCCACCCCCAGAGATATGACCTTAAATCCAAGTAAAGAAAGGCAGAAATAGATCTTCTTGTTAAATAGTTAGCAAATTAATAAAATAATGTCACTGCATTGGCAATTACACGTTTAAATAATAAGAAAGGAATAGCACGGATGGCTGGATCCCATTCGGCTGACTATGTAGTTGAGTCCTGGACTCAGTTGCTTGAGAAACGTGCTGGGCACATGTTCATCAATGCCCAAAATCCCAAAGGAGAAATGGAGAAGTGATTGGGCATGACAATTCCCATGGGGAGTACTTTCTCACTTTCTCTCTCTCTGGTGAGACCATATACCTTCTGGCAAAACTTAACAACAACTACAAACTAGTACCAACCTCAAAAGATTGTAGTGTCAACTAAATGAGAAAGTATGCATAGATGACATGTCAGTGTCTGAGAAATAGTAATCATTTATCAGAAGTTTATCTATTATCATTTTTAAGAGAGCTTTTTGCTATATGGCGTTTGAGCTTACCTGAGAGACACAGACAGGGAAATAGAAAACAAGAAATCACCTCCAGGGGGATAACCACACCACAATCCCTTCTTCTCTGTCCTCTTCTCAGAATTTTTGCACACATGCTCATGCACCCAAAATGAGTTTCAAACCACCGGGTCTGGGACTGGAACAACGGTTGACAATGTGGGAGTCCAGTGACATAACCGTTATGTCAGCTGCTAGTCCCTATCTATTATTTTTATTTAATCCACTAAATTACCTGATCAGGAAGAACAACAATAAAGTATTATTTTAAAATGCTCTTGGAATATAAAAAATAATATTTAGTTTTGCCTTGGTGTGTGCAAAGGGTAATCATAATGTGCCAAATGCTCTGTTTGCCTCTAATAAAATTTGTTATTGGTCACATATGCTTCCTATAAATACATAGTAAATACCAGACCACCATTAGCCTTAAATGAAAATTCCATTTCCAAAAAAGTAGTTTTCCTGAACAGGAGGATAGATAATTTGTTCATATTGTTTTCTAGGTTATTTGCTTCTTAATAATAGTTTCTTCTGTTGATAGCCAGAAAATACAGATCCTTTCTTTGGTAATGGGATTGATCTTTCCCAGCAACTTACTCTCTCATCAAAGACAAGAAAATACATTGTGGATTATTTTTTTCTAGTATCTCAAGTTTTATGACATAGAGCAACTTTCCATCCTTGAAGATGACAAATTTACAACCTTAATTTTGTTTCCATGGGAACAGACCAGAACTAATCGATTTTGTCTGCAACATAATCATAAAAATCCCTACAGAGTGTGAGATAGAGAAGCTACTGATACTAACAGATTATGGACCAATACAATTCCCCAGACTACTATTCTGGAAAATTAAACAAGGTAGAAGACCCATATATGATTAATGAAAAAAAAATATTTTGCCTTGGTAATGCCACAACATATGCCAAATGTTTACTATGCCATTTTTCTCAGACTCTAATGCATTCACAAATATTTTTGTACCCATCGTATTGGTTGCCTTCACTTTTATTTTCATAAGCTTGTGTTAGTATGATATGAGAGCCTGGAAAACTGGATTGAACTGTACAAATCTATTTTTCTGTAATTTGTATACAGCTTAGATGCTTAAAATCAAATCACACATCAGTAAGATTCAGGACAAATATGTCAAGGATATTAGGAAAAGTTAGTGAAAAATAGAGTGTGTGAAAAACACTTCACCTCAAAGTAACAATGTGTGTTTGTTGATAAACATTTCAGTGGATAATACTTAGCTTTCTTTGGGCCTATTTCTCATTTATTTTAAAATCAGAGAGGTAATTAACTAAGAAATTAATATTATGCATCACAAACCTTTTCTCTTTCTCTGTTGGGTTAACATAAATGCATGGGTTGAGCCAGAAAACTGAGAGTGAGCTTAACCCCATCATCAAGTCCAATTTATGCCTTCACTTAGCTTCTTGGAAATTCCTCTTTGGGTGTTAAGATAATTTTTCTGACTTCAATGGCTAGTATCCTCTATGTTCCCTGTCCTTAAAAACGGGTAGTCAACTGAGAGTTAGACCTTTTCATTTTTCTGTCTGCCCCTTCCCCAGCCCCAGGAAACACCATGCCCATTATTAGCTTCTGCTTCAATGAGTGATTCTTTAATCATTTCCCCAGCCCAGACAGTTTTCTTGAGTCTCAGACCCACTATTAATTACATACCCAGATGTCCCACAGGCAGCTCCAACTAAATAGGTCCTACACAGAAATTAATATTATGCATCACAAAGCTTTTCTTTCTCTATTGGGATAACGTAAATGCATGGGTTGAGCCAGAAAACTGAGAGTGAGCTTAACCCCATAACTCTTCATCCTTTATATCAAGTCAATCACAAATGCTCATTGATTTTTTCTCTCCTATATTTGTGCTTTGAATATCCTCTCCTGGCCATGGTTTCTCTCCTTAACTTATTAATGGTCTCCTTTTTTCCAGGCACTGCACTTACTCTTTAGATTTTGTTTTTCCCATTTAAATGTCACCTTACCTCTATGAAGTATATGCTGTCATTGCTATGATTATCTTTATTACACAACAAAAAACTTGGAGATTATAAAGGGGCTGGGGCAGAGGAGCCTGCTAGAACATAGGAAAGTCAAAGCTTAATCCAGTTCTCATTGCCAAATTCATGCTTTTTGCTAGTAGAGCTTAGTTAGATCCTCTTTTCTCCTTTAGACTACTGATATGGTTGGTAACCAACTGCTTTCTTCTAGGGTAGCTCTTTGTTCTCAAAGTAAGGATTTTAAACAGCTGAGGTCCTTGGGACCCTTTGGGGGTGTACAAGGTGTATACAATTTTAAAAGTAACAGCAAAGTGTCATTTGCCTTTTTTCACTGTTTTGACATTTGAACCGATAGTGCAAAAGCCATGGGAGCAAAACTGCTAGTGTCTTAGCAGAAATAAGGCAGTAGCATCAAGCCACAGGGTAGGCCTATTTTTATTCACTGCTGTAGACTCCCAGTAAGAAAAAAAATCCAGCTCATGTAAGAAATCCCCAATGAACAGCCAATATTAATTTTGTTAAATTCAACCTTAAAGAACACATATGTTTATTTTTTTGCGCCATGAAAGGGGAAGAAAATATAAAGTATTTCTGCAGCATACTGAATTATGATGGTTGTCTTTAAAAAAAACACTTCTGTGATTACTTGAGTCAGGAGTCAAATAAACCTTTTTTCAAAGAACACCATTTTCACTTGAAAGAATAACTGACAAACTATGGTTACTCAGACTTGGGTATTTGGCACATATTTTCTCAAAAATGAACAAAGGAAAAGCCTGTCACTTTAGAAAAAGCAAATGACAGCATTTGTTGTCAATGTAAAAATGGAGCTTTCAAGTGGAAATTGGGATTTTGGAAAACTTTTACCTGCCACCAGGAGCTTGACAGCCTCTCAGTACGTGTCTTGGCCTTTCTTGTGACATCAGCGGTGATATTAACGAAGGTGAGGGACTGGCTCCATGGTGCAGCAGG